TGGTTATTAGGAACTGCAGCGTTCGGTCCACTTTCTCGAACCAAGCCGGTATGTGCAGCCGTTTTGCTTCTTAATGCTTTTCCAGACCATAGATCAGAACTTTGTGGCAGGTCAAATCAAAGACTACTTCTATGGGCTTTTCATAGTGCACGTAGGGCCACAGAGCGTTTGAAAATGTAAGAACCGCGATTGCAGACACCGATGTCCGACCTAGCCGTATAAAGAGGTTGGTCACTTCTGTTTGAAGTTTGGGCGCACCATGATTGGGCAGACCTGAACGCTAAGCGGTGACATTTGCATGGTTCATTGAAAAAAAAAGGATAAACGGCTTAAAGGTCTTCTAATCTAAAACGTTCAAACAACTACAGAAATTGAGCTCAAAATTGGTGCATAATTATGGGGACAGCCCTGTAAATTCTGCTGCCCGTCCTCTACAATTCTGTTTTCAGGACGGCCTGTCCTTATACGCGCTCGTCGGACTGATCACTACCATCGAACTCAACAGGCACTTTTCCTTCAAATTTGAATTCGAAACGGTTGTTAACAGAGTCAACCTGCGTTCGCAGTTTTCAACCGTCACGTTGTCAGTTTCGCCCGATATAACACGTCTCTTCGCCTGCGATCATCCCAACTCGCACCTCTCGAGACCGTACTGTGTATCTGTCCATCAGCGTCTTTGAAGATCTCTCTACTCGCCGTTGCGAAACACTGCGCACGCAGTTACTCTGTTGAAGATCTCATTTTGCATACACGCTCATAAGTCAATACCTTAATGACTATAGCGGATTAGTAGCAGCAGCAGCTGCTTGTAAAGACTCCCTCATTCTCTACATCGGAGCAAATATGTAACCTACTTGTCGAGGGCTCCTCGTCGTTATCACCCTGCTCCCAAGCTTTCCTGGCGAAATTTCAGATCTGCGCACGCCAGGATTTTGCACTTCACACCAATAATCGTTTCCGCATGCTCCATCATCAACATGCTTGCAGAAGACATGACGTTACACCGCTTCTCCAGCATAACACGTACTGGCAATACAACGCATATGATGGGCATAAGCATACTTTTGATACATGGACATGAAAGGATCTGAAAGGCCAAGCACCCAACGAACGATTATAGGCAAAATATACGAACCACAGTTCAAAGGGTGTGGAGCCGAAAGACATTTTAGGCCATATCGGAATTTTTTTTGGGGGGGGGGGGGAGCTCTCTTCCTTTTGCCTCCGTCAAATGTCAACCACACCTTTCTGTAGTCTCCAGCTATCATGAGTGCTACATAATCCTATGAATCGGCTTGAACATGCATACTTTCTTGAGATATTCACTCTGAATAGTAAGACTCTTTTGGCTTAAGATAACCTCGAAATGTGCCCTTACAATTACAGATGGCGCATTCACCCTTGAATCGATCACCCACGTTCAATCTCAACATTCCCACAAGCATTTATAGATTCGCAATTCATTCATTATTCTACGAAACTCGTTCCTTTGCTTCATTTTGACGACCACACTTGTGGTAAACGCTCATATACAGTACGTGCCCAATAAAATTCAAAACAAACAAGCAGCGAAGTAGCGTTTTTTTTGTGTTTGTTATAACTAGGTTGGGGAATGAGAACCATAGAAGCTTGACTAACACCTAGCTTTATTTAGCCTATCGAGCTGTACATAAGGACTTCAGAGTTCTGAAAAAACTTCCTCTCAGAATGCGCCATGCACCCGATTCAATATGACAGAGAGATGATGTATGCCGCGCATAAATACCAGTTAATGCAAGCTAACCAGCTCACAAGGTAAAAGATTTTCAAATGCGCCCGCCTAACTTCGTCAGTACATTGTGTAAATAAGGTATATTTATCAATAATATTTCCTAATAAGATCCATGATTTATGAGACAATTTGAAAGCGACTGATCGGAACAGCAACGAATGGCACAGTCTATGCGGCCCTTGCCTCACAATTTTGAGTCTACGGTTAGTATCAGCGCCTCCTGTTTTGGAGCCCTTTTCTTAGTTACGAAGCCGCCTCGTTGAATCCTAATGACGACACGCTGCATGAGTGTTTTTTCCATTCCGTGGGCTAATAAACTGACTAACAAACATCGCACCTCTCCTTCTGTTTTTGAATAAGCGATACGAACCCGTAACCGAAGACGGTGACTAAAGTGCCTGACCAGTAGGCCGATTGGGCAATCTCTCATACCCACGTAGACCCGTTCTGATGCCAACAGAGCACATCAGTGATCACAATGCGTTCAGTCTCGTAGAAAGAACTCAATTCTTGGGGGGGCTGAGGCATTAAATTTAAAAAATACCTAAGCAACGCTTCACAAGTCCTTACAAAGTCTCTTTTTCCTAATAAACCGCATCATGGTTTCAAAAAACCAATCGCACGGCACAAGCATTCTGAAGTAGATGCATCAAGAGCATTCAGACGATCGCCAAAAGTCGATACTATAACTGATTTATGTGAAGCTCATACAAGCACGTAAAAGATCATACGTGCGTTCTACCTCTTAAAAAATGTCATCTAAACGTATCATCAATACACATGGTTTGAAATTGTGCGTTGTGTCTTCGCGGTTTGGCCGATCTCCTCTCGCAAGTTTGATCTTCTCGATAAAAATCCCATTTATTTATTATCGGGCTTATTAACTTTTGGGTGATGTCTTATTAATGCATGATGTTGCATAGGTTTCCGTGAGCCCCTACAATAGCGCGGTTGCTCGCATGTTTGTGAATTATTTACAATTCTCGGTTGACTGTTAAACTGTTTAAACTCCTTGTTAAACGAGCATCATACTGACTCACTGTAAGATTGTGAGGTGAATTTCGGCAAGGCAATCTCAGTAGACGCATCTGTTATCCGAGGTCAAAGATGCTGTACAAAAGCAGTGTTTTGGGTCCTGACATAGTTGAGGGGTTCCTTTCCCATCATTTTTCCGTACAAATTAAACTTATCTTTAATGCTTGTAAATCATCTTGCAAGCTATGGAATATCTCTGGAAACGTCAGCCATTTTACCATTTTGAAAGCATTAATGAAATCATCATGGCATTATCATAGCGCGCTCATCCTACTTGGATTGCAAGTTGTGCACTTTGCAGTCGTCATCGGTTTTGGCACGTTCCCTTTCTCGTAAATCAACTTGGTGCAACTGAAATTTCCTCTGCCAAGTTAATCCATAATAGGAGCTTCGGCGCTTGGGTACGTGGTTACTGCTCGCCATGGACTGGACTATACCCAGGGGGACTGACTAAACCACAAATGTCTTGGCACTGGAGGGCATTGCAAAATATCTCTATTCACACCTCCAGCTTGTAACTACTCCCTGCCAAACCATTGTAGTTGCAATATGAGAACGATGATTTGACTACTTATTCTCGCTCGACAACTATGTAGTGACCAACTGCTCTTCTGTCGATAAAAAGTTCTTTAATGATATTTTCTTGTGCCAACACCATGGCTTTAAATTCAGCGAAAGAACTATCGCAGGCCTAGATCAACGGATGTTTTTTGCGCCTGAAAACTGCCAACGTTGACATTGCTCTCACGGCATTTCCTGCTGCAATGACCTATTCAATTTGCGTGAAGGCTCGCCATCACATTTTTTCCCAAACCCGAATCTTTCGCGCTTTTTGTTGGAATGTCGCCACATAACTGCCTTCTCGCATGCCTCAGTGGCGTATTCTCTACTGATTCGCAATCAATACACCCGCTGAACATGATACCGCTCGTCACATAACCCAACGCTCACGTTGCGATGGCAATAGGTCATGCGCCTATGCGTATGTGACCGCAACCATCTTAAGCATTCTTGCTGCTTGGGTAGCGTATCCACGCGAAATTGTCCATTTCGGCCAAATCTTTGCACGAATGATACTGAAGAAATATACCCGTAAATCATGGTTCCATCCGTTTCACGACCACAGCTAACCCTGTATGTATTATGTTACTTCTTTTGGGAGAAAATCCTCTCTGAAGTCATTGTTCCTATTTCTCGGTATATGGCTTTCTGCATGAATCTGGAATATAGCATTCAATTAATTTCACTTAGTAACAATAGTAACACTCGAATCCTCAAAACTGGTCCTCCACTGGTGGCTGGGCTTGCTAGTCGAATGTTTTGGTTTCAGGTTTCATCCCCAGCCATGTTAGTTTCCGTCAATACCGCTATTCGAGCAAAAGATGTTGAGACTCGGATGATGCGCTACGCACTCACAGGTTTCTTGTCCTATTTCCCACAGCTTTCTTGCATCGGGTGGTTCATTCTTCTTGAAATTGAAACCACCAACTAATTTTGCATTATTTTTCCCCTTCACTCACCCCTGCCCATCTTCACGGTATTCAGCCGACTAACTGGGCTCCTAGCAAATATAGGGGGTCGTTTGGCTATTCTAGCCAACGACCACTATTCTGCTCTAGATGTGTTTTTATAAGAATTAACACGTTTCAATTTAAAAAACAGGCGTATGTTATAAAGAGATATAAATGAACCTTTGTTTCAGTCAACAGCAGTCTCGGCTCTTATACTGGTTCATGGATGAGCGCGTTTCCCCTCAAATCACAGATGCGGCTCACTTTGCAGCCGTTTAAAAGGAATCTAGTGAATTAGCGTGATTATTGTACCAGCACGATCATTACTTCATCTGCTCACGCACGCCAATTGAATTGAGTCCATTGTTTCAGTGAAATATTGTTTCCATTCGAGAGACAAAATGTTATGTTAGACAGTATTGGGAATTTATACCGTAACAACGAGAAGATTGAAGAAAGCGAACTATGTTCATCAGGCAAATGTACGGCCCAAATCTGTGTGAAAGCTGCAGTCCATATGGTACACTCGCAGAAGCAACGAAAATGAGGAATCCTAATATCAGTTCTCATGAGGGCCTTGCCTTCATTTTGTGCAATCTTCGAAATTCCTTACTTAGTGCATAAATGCAAAGGATACAGCAATCTCGGACGTGCCCGCATGACCTTATATGCACATCCAAGCTTCATATTTTTTGTAATTCGTCTATCTAAAAAACAGAGTTGTTAATTAGTTTACTTTATGGCAGCATAAAATTCTCTCACGCTTGAGCACAAGTTTCGATCTGTAGAAGAACTTGCGATCGGTGGACTCCATATCATCACGGTTCATCCAATTTTTTCTAGCGGATTCTAATAGGCCTCCTCTTCGTTTACCAATTGTTTACGTATTCCACGCTAAGACAATAACTCGTTATGCAATAAATCTGAAACAGACATAACGAATTCTTCATTGTTTACCTTATAACTTGTTTTGAGACATTTGACAAACGGCACGACCCGGGGTGTCAACTTTGAAAATGCATGCGGAGACCTGTGTACTTGTGTCTTTTTTTCTCCAGTCACAGTCCCATTTACTAACATTAGTCGGCACTGTCACTAGTTTCTATCAATCGCCTCTTCCACTTTCGTAAGTAGGATTGCTGCTTTTCCCTTGAAAGAACACTAAACAAAGTTACTGCTTGGTACACCAAGGATTACAAAGACTTGCCTTAAAAGAAAGCTAACGCTATAATGTTGAAATTTTCCAAATCTCATACTCAGTGGCTGCCGCGCGTAACTACGACAATAGTTTCCCTTAACATGGTAATGACCTACCTAGTTTGTAACATTTTCTATAGTCTGGTCCGAGAACCGGCCAAAACCGGTTCTATTCGCTTGAAATTCGCGTAAGATATGTGCGACGACACCATCGTCTATGGAAATCGAGAATATCTTGCTTTTTGTCAGTCGCGTCAAGGTCTTTTTTGAGCGCCATATCTGAAGGTTATCATGTGTAAGTCAAAAATTGCAATGTTTATATGGTTTCGGTAACTTTTTATCGAAAAGGCAACTGCCTCCTGCTGTGGAATAGGACATACAACTTCCGTACCCTCGACGTAACTAATTCTTCTCTGTGTGTGCCTAACGTACCTGCTTTTCAACATCTCAACTGCACGAGCCCTTAAAATAACAGCATTTGGCAACAGTTGCCAACAATAGATGTTATCCAATAATATCATGAGCTTTGTTCGAAGACAATTCAAGTAATATCCAATTTCACGTAGCCACACAGGCAAACGAGCTGGTAGCCCACATACATGTCGAATGTGGCTCTCGAAGTCATTGGAATCGTGCTATATTTAATGGCTGTGGTACCTCGAAAAAATCGCACCATGCCCGCGCCACATTGATTCACTCAAATTGCTGCAGGACAATAAGGTATGTGCTCACGCAATCGACGATACACTTCGTTTTTTTTTGAAAAATAAATGAATACCGTGGAACTTATCCAAAAAGTCCAAAGTTGTTTTGGATATCCTTGTATCCAAAAGTTACCAAATAATCAACAACTTTCTATGAAAGCTACATCAATTAGTTAGTCTTAGAGCATTGGAGAATATATGTAGAACTCTTCTCTCTCAGAATGCTAAAAAACACAGAACTGACTAAAAAAATTGAATAACTTTTTTTTTTCATATCGGCAAAAGCTACGCCTACTGAACAGCACCTAACACCGCCTAGGAAAGCTACGTAAGCTGCCATGATTCGGCTCTCGATAAACTCCGAATCTCAGTGCTCGGTCCCTTGCTGCCTGTGTAAACTGCAAAAGAACGTTCTTAAACATTACTGTTGTTGGCTAACGTTTCAGCCAAGTTCGCCTTCGTCGACGAAGATGGGATTTGGATTGTAGTATGGACCAGAATTCTACACTCATGCACCTATTAGGTCTTCGACACCATCTGGTAAGCGTAGAAGATGAATACGCTATCAGTCCACCGGTTCAGCTAACGACACGGTCACAGTTATTTTTGGCCTCATCGGTGCTAAGGGTCATGCCTTACTATAATAATTGCGCTTAAATATGTCTGTGTGTGTGTCAGCTCTGTTTGTGTGTGTTTGTCACGAAATTCCGTAGCTCGGGCCACAGCAACGATCTGCCCATGGTTCTCGCATATGTTATTGTGGAGGGGGATTGAACACAAGTGGTACACACAGTAAGGGTAGCGCTGTGGTTCTTAACATATGTATATAGGGGTGGGGATGGACACAAGTGGTACGTGATAGGAACTGATAACGACTGATAATAGCTGATAAGAGGGGTTAGAAAGCAAGCATCGCCAATTTCTTGCCGTTCATATTGGTAAAAGAGCGTCTATTCTTACAAGTGTTATGTGGGGCGGTCCCGGGACATTGGTGGTACGTGACTGGAAGCGATAGCAACTGATAATGGCTGATAAGATGCGCTAGAACGCAAAAGTTGTCGATTCCGTTGCCTGGCTCACGTTGACACTAGAGTAACCATACTTACAAGCGTTATGTGGGGTGGGACGGGGACATTGTCGGTGGGTGCCAGAAACTGATAACGATTGATAAGGGCTATGAGACGCGCCAGAACGCCGAAGTCGTCGATTCCGTTGCCTGTCTCGCGTTGATACTAGAGCGTTCATATTTACAAGCGTTATTTGGGGAGGGGGGGGGGCGGGCATTGTCGGTGGGTGCCAGAAACTGATAACGATTGATAAGGGCTGATAAGGTGCGTCAGAAAACAAAAGTCGTCAATTCTGTTACGCAGCGTTGACACTAGAGCGTTCCTCCTTACAAGTTGTAGTAAGTCGTAGTAGTGCAAGCAAAGGTACGTGCCATTATTTTGATAAATATACAGCCTACTTAATAGAATTCGAGTGCATAAACTTTAAAAAACAAGTCTTCAGCAAATGATAAGTTTCATTTCTGACGAGTAAGAAAACCCAAACTCATTAAACCGCCAATCCTTTCGTGGTTCTAAATAATGATGAATGTAAGTGAATGATAAGCATTAGCTCCTCACTTATGTAAATAAGCATATTTCGTTTTGATTTTGAGACTGACAGTAATCCTATTCACCGCTAAATTATCTTAATTCAAGAGAAATGCTGGATGTTTACAGAGCTCAATATGCCATTTCAGCTCAAACGTTATCACGCGTATTCTGGATGAGCTTCAGTGAAACTGTGGAGGGTCTACAGATAATAGTGAGATGGTTAATTGAGTATCTCATGCAGATACTCCATGGCTCCTCCAATTTCACTAAAGCCCGTGTGATGCGCGCGATAGCGGGCGGAGCAAAACTGGTAACAAAAAATGGTGGCAGTGAGCGGACTTCTGACTGCAGAGAGCATCCCATTTTCGAGCTCCAAAGAGAGGAAAAGGAAAAAGAGCAAACCCTGAAAATTTGCCTAATTATCGAACCGTATTTATCAAATTGATATACGGCACGGTGTTGAGACCTCCTAGCACCTGAAAATGGTTCAAAGTAGAATATGCCAAACATTCATGGTTACAGAGGAAAGCGCAAGATTTGTGGCACGATTGCTGGTTTGAACGGATGGCGAAGTACTCATAACGTGAAGCATACCGAGTTGAGGGTTTCGATGATTGCTGTGCTGTACAAGTATCAATGCAAAACCCTTTGTCATCGCTAATCTAAGGTTGGCTTCTAGTCATGAGATGTGGCATTGATAGAGAATTGAGAAGAGTGGTTACGAGAATGTGAAGCATTCAGATTCGTATGCTCCAAAAGCTATCGTATTAGGCCGCTGAAGCCCTTTTGTCGATCTTATAAGGCTATGTAAAAATTGCGAATTTGTGGAAAAATGTCCGACTTTGCCAGTTAGCTTGTCTAACCATTAGCTGGCGCGGATTCCGTAACCGATCACATCTTAAAATAAAATCTATAGATAAGTGAAGAGGATTGCGAAGATAGAGGCGGCCTGTGTCGTACTTAACGAATTTCTCATCCGTCTGTCCGAGAATTCTGCCTAGCTGCTGTTTGTAAACGGCCTTGCTCCCTGAGTGGGCTTGGTATTATATACAAGGCTAGCAAGCCTAGGATCGGGCATGTCTTTATGGTACCAATTGGTTGGAAAAAATGTCCTGTAATTTGACTTGTTTTTGTTTGCTTGTTAACTGCTGTTATCTTTCGTATCGTCTGGGGCGAAACATCTGTTTACAACTCAGCGCTTTTGTAAAACATGTCCTGTATTGTTCCTCTGCTATCGAGTCAAGTCGCGCTTCGTTGCACCGCTCTCCACACATTTTTACTTCAGCTTTTTCTTAGCAATGAGCCCTCCATTCAGTCTAGTTGCAGCACTCAAGCGTCTTACAATCCTGCCAAATTATGGATACCATCGTTTAGGCTGAATTCAGCAGCAGCGCCTATCGTGAGTGGTAAGGTGCTCTGAGCATCATCAATTGAACTCTGACGTGGTAATCTCATACATTTTCAGAGACTGTTTGATGCCTGACCATTAGACTCCTCGCTTTGGTGAGGATTTTGAAGAGAATATTTCATGTGGACAACCGCATTGCAGGCACCTTCAGAAATCTGTGGCATTCCAGTCACGCATGTCTATTGTGCAACAGCACTTATTAGATTGCAAGTGAAAATCACACCGAGCATGCAAAAAAAATCGCTGTCACGCGCAGTGCTGGAGTGGCATGGTTACTCCACGACATCAAACTGTACAACACAAAGTGATAGGACACCTTCTTCACGAAGTGGGGCTCGGGTGAAACTCGAACCAGTTGTAATGATGCTATCAATGATAAAGCCAAGTTATAAAAAATGTCTCTCACTAGTATCTTAGACTGGTATGCAGTCGTTTACCTACCATGGAAAAAGACAGTGTGGGATGGCATTTTACCTGTAATCCATTTGATTTCCTCACGATCGCCGATAACATGTAGCCTGTAGCTAGTACCGCATGCTTGACTGTCATATTGTTTGTCGTTTCCTTTGACTGCGAAGCAGTAACCAAAAAATTCTTCTTCGTAGTCGTCGCAGTAGAATGTTTTACCTTAAATACTTCACATTGCGAATTGAACGGCCTTTTACTTGATGAAAAGCAGCAGCTCTCCTTAATGCAAAGCCGATTTACCTTTCGCACAACCTACCTACCTTTCGCACGCTCCTTACATTTTAATTACAGAACTGACTACAACTCAATGGTCAGTTATTAGTATAGTTTCTCAGAAATTCAGCGGCTCAGCTAATTTAGAATGACTATCGAAATCTTACATTACGAACAATCTGAAGGACATGCGCAAAGTTAACACCGCTAACGGTAAAGTTGCTAATTGAACTTTGTATAGTCTCGGCATTGTCTCAGTATTCGCCGCATACGTTTTCTAAATATGCAAAACCAACATCGTAGACCACTGGATTTGTTCCCTGCAACCCTTTCTTCCTCGCTAAGGTTAATCTCTTCCGCTCAGCTCATTTTCACTTGTGGAATCTGGCCTGCGGTGAGATTTGTACTCATGAAAAAGGCTTCGTGACTATTGAGTGATCCTATCTCAATCATGATCACCTTGAAATTGTACCCCAGAACTGATTTTGCCCTTATTTCCATTAGTAATTGGGTTTCTTTGACCTTCCTGTATCTAATATCCCCCTACCTTCCAGCTATCATGACAGCACAGTGGGTGTTTGTATAGCCGTTAGTGTCATCAATAGTGCCAGTACGGTACTATGGACTAAAAAACTTTCCTTTGCTGATTGCGTCATATTATTTACAATACCTGATCCACCGATGCAGCTGTACTAGAAGGATACTGAAGATCTTGCTTTTTCGTTTGTCCCAATTGACGAGGTTCCATCAAACGTAAACCGCGACTTTTTGGCGTTTGGACCAAAATCGGTTTTTTTTCCAAAATAGCGAGGAGGTAGTTGGTTCTCTCCTTTCATTCTCACTGCATATTGTGACGATGCCTCGGGTGTATAGCAATTTGTTTGTCTCAAGCATCAATCCCGGATCAAAATGGTGGGATAGGTCGACAACTGGAACGTGGATGCCGGATTAACTGAAAGTGAGAAGCAAGGGAAGCCGCAGACAGTGCATTTGGAATGGACAATATCTCTTCTCCATTGAGAACACGAACAGTCATGTTCGTTGTTTCTAAATATTTTCTTCAAGAGTTTTTAGAACTTAGTCGTGGCGTCACAAATCCACGCGTATTTGGATTGGCCACTGCGTCGTAATCCACGTTGAGTGCCACGGAGGTATGCGTGTATTTATCTTGTCTATTAGCTCACAATGGTATTATTAGCTCAATTTGAAAGCTTCATCCTTCCTCCTTCACCTTTATAAAATCCTTTATGACGACAACAAATGGCTCGCTGTCTGGTTGTCAAAAGGAGAGATCAGCCCATGCAGCCCAAGCCATTACAGCACCCGTGGAAACTTTGGCGTGCTGCTCTATGACTCGAAGAGCACGGCATGGCTACCTTCTACTGCAGGAATTCTACCTTCTGCTTCAGGAATTCGCTCATGCGATTGAAAAAGCGAAGGAGTAGAGATGTTATACATCTTCTGCATGATAACGCTCGGCCTCATATCGCGAAGACCATGCTGTTCAGGTTGCAAACACTTGGCTGAAATACCGTTCCCACCCCACCCCCTACTCTCCTGACACCACCCCCTCTGACCAGGGTCAAGTGTGCGTTGAGGAATCCTCGACAGAAGACAAGGGTGGGTATTGGCCAATATTGGCTCTGAGCGGATCGATGCAGTAGGATCATTACATACTGTTGGACGACGAATATCAAGGATCGCATCGATACCATGGAAGGCCAGGGACGGTAGTAAAGTACCCTAGACTGGCAATCAAGTATGGTGATTTCACCCATTGAGAGGAACAAAAAACGTGGAAACATGGACTTTATACCGCCAGCCTCGCCACACTGTCTGCAAAACTTGCGCCACTCTCGGACTTGAACCCTGGATGACAAGACTAAAAGCGTGTTTTGCCAGTGCACCAAGGATCACTCGATCACAGCATCGGAATAGGTCTTGGCAACAGCAACGGATGTTGTTTGTAAATCTTAGACTTCAAGCGGTGTAGATCCAGCAACCTTGCCTTCGACCTATCGTAGTATTAATCCCGCGACTGATCCAACACCGACGTAGACCGCAGGCGCTACACCGCTGACGAATCAATGTGAGATGCCTCCGTTTCACAACACTGTGCTTTGACCCACGCTCTTGGCAATTTGATGTTGGCCAACTCTAGAAAGTCCTCCGAAGGACTTTTTTGCTGCGCGTCACGGGCGTCACTGCGTCTCTCCAAACACATTGTATTTTGCCACTCCGCTTCCCGTTCTGACAGCGAGCCCTTCCTGCGCGTAACAAGGAACCACCTTGCCAGGGAGCTGTAGCTCACCTGGGAAGCTTTTTTCATAGTTTCGTAAATAGGTTTCCTAGGTGCCATGGAAGCGATTCACCACCATCGGAAGAATTTGCACCTCCATGAGGTGCTCATTAAAACTGCACGTCAATGTGCAAGTTTGGCTAGTTTACTACCGTCCCATAGGATTTCCAGTAACATCATTATTCCGCCCACATAAAATTTTGTTGTTCAGGGTTGTCCGCATAGTGAATCTTAGCTGCCTCAGCGACTTATTACGACACTAGATGCAGAATTCGAAAATTGCACGTTTTCCAATGATATTTTATCTTTCAAGTGAGTCTACAAATCTGAAGGGATGTGACGCACGCGATCCCAGGTGGGCTCAGTAAGTTTCGCGCATCTCAACACAGCTGTCTGGAGAAAAAAATCCCAATTGAGGAAAAGTCAGTAGGATTCTGAAAGGCTTCGTGTGAAGTTATGGGGAGTGACTCACTATTCAACAAGAAATGCAGCTTTTAGCGCTTGATAAGCGCCGATAGTAATAATGTAAGTGAGAACATTAGGTCGCCTAAAACCTAATACCAGATGAGCATCTCTACTCATGTCATTTTTGTTTCATTTGCGTTCCATCGGCAGCCCCATACTCCCTTCGACCGCTGCTTTGCCTCAGTTTCCTGTGAATGTGTGTAGAGGCTGTCTGAAGAAAAGTGTTATGTTTTTTATGTTCCAACATCATTAGCATCGAATATTATTCAACCGCTACACATTTGACATTCAAGGCATGGTGGTTGTTTACATAAACGATTTTACCACTGCACTCTATCGCGCGTATCAAGCGGTGAGCTTCAGCAGTAATTGATAAGCCATGAAAAGATCGGCTAAGGCATTTCATGATGCAAATCAGCGTTGCATTCTTTAGCGGTGGGACCTAAGCTCCGCATGCTATTTTCACGGAAGCCTACCGCTTTATGCGCGCGGTAGCGTGCGGAGCTAAGCTGGTATTATTATACAGTGCGTTTCAAAAGTATGTGGACACCTTACAATTCACATCAAAGTAGTAAGTAAGAGGCTTTGTGCTATTCAACCCTCCTTGATCGATTCCTCGTACTAGTTGATAACGTATCAGTATAAATTAGCAGATAATGGCCGTATGCTATCCTTCCCTGGAGCTAGGCCCAAAGTTCCCTTTGAATTTATTTGCTTTGAATGATGTAATTTCTTCATTTTCTATGCATGTTTACTTTTACCAACATGCATACATTTGATGTAGGTCTTTTGTCGGGTAATCCCCGTTAGGAATACAGAGAAAATTCAAAGAAATTTTCTTCCCCTAACCCCTTCGGGGAGGATAGCATACGGCCCAATAGCGCATTGCTTTAGTAAAAAAAAATTGGATTGAATTTCCTTCTTCGTATGTGGACACTTGAAGGGAATCAGATTTTGGCTCCAAAATTTCCACCGGTTTTGATCCGAATTTGGTGTTTTCATTCTTCATAATGCCTACTCGTGGCATACTTCCTGAAGACGAACAAGCTCAGGGCAGGGCTCTGCATGATACTGAACGTTCCAATACAGAAATTGTGCGACAACTAGGTCGTTCTCCTCCATGCATTGGAGAATTCATCCGGCATCCTGATAATCGTACTCAGCACACACTCCCCCTTCCACGATCCTTGACTGCTCAGAACAACAAAAGAGTAACCCACATCCTGTCGACTTTATTGACTGTCCGAGCTAAGATTGTTATACCAGCCTTGAAAACGACCATTAAGCCCCTCATCCGCCCAAATGAGTTCACCACTCGACAGTTGCTGAGAAAAGCTACTCCGTTCAAGGCTCAGCATAAATTAGCAAGATTGGAGTCTGCCTGTGAAAACATGGCAACATAAGATATAACACGGGGATAGGATACGGTTTTTCGAGAATTTTTTATTTTCAGAACGAACAACTTTTTATGCACTTTTTTCCTCAGGTAATCTCAACTCACGGAAAGAATTTGATCCTGATGGGCCGCAAGGATTTTGTCACTGCTGAGGAGGTATGGCGGTGAACCGCTCGTGTTTTCGAGATGGAATTTCGGAGAAGGCCCGTAATGGGTCTGGGGAGGTTTCGCAAGCAGCGGTAAGTTGGAAGTTGGTGCTCCATTATTGCGTATGAACAGTAAAGAATATCGAGCAGTGCTCCTATATCACCTATCGCCTTTTCTTAGAGGAGCGCCTTGAAAGTTCCATATTTCGCAACATGACCACGCGTCTGTGAATGTTCCGCAATCTTCCAAAGAGCGGAAACGAAATGGTGTTGAAGCGATAGATTGGCATGTGTATTCTCCTCACCGTAATAATCCTGTGGGGAGCCCTTGATCAAAGAGTTTACTTCAACAACCGCCACTACAAAACCGTGGATGAACTGAATGCGGCGGTAGAATATTTGGGCTGACAGCGACGAAACACTATGGCAAAAGTGGTTCAGATTATGCCAGACACTATTTTTGAGCTAACTGGAAGTTCTGGAGGCCGGAATAGTTTCTAATCTCAGTCATGTTTTTGTCTTTTGTTTAGGGTCCACATACTTTTGAAACAAAAAAGAAAATTCAGTTCAAAAATTTTCGACTAAAGAAATGGTATATTATCTGCTAAACTACTCTAATGCGATATCAACTACGGGGAATCGATTGAGGAGGGTTGCATAGCATGAAACCACTTAGTGACCTTTTTAACATGAATTGTGAGGCCACATACTTTTGAACGCACTGTATTAATATATTTATAATATGATCGTAGAGTATGTGTAGCACTAAACAAAGCCTATGAAAGAAATAATGAAGAAGAGATGCGGTCAGAGATGTGGTGTGCTATTTATCACTAGCCCGTTGTTTTTTGCTCCATTTGTCGAATGATTCATTGCTAAAGGTTTTTCTTGACCTTTTGCACTCGCTGAACGACTTTTAGGGTGGAGAATGAGGTAGCGGGGCTTTTCTTTAATGGAAGTTTTCGGAGAGGCTAAACAATTTTTCATGCTTTGATTTGTGAGGAGAGTCGTTTCATGGACTTGCAGCTGGTGGGAGATATGGGATGGGAGTCGTTTTTTAAGACTTTTTCCTCATCGCCTCGCTTGACCTTGCTTCTGTCCATCACTTGTTTGGGCACCTCAATAGTAAAAGAATATAAAATACATCCGAGTTTTGCAATAAATCCTATGTTCGCTCTCTCTCTCGAAACCTCGGCATTTTCATTGTTGTTATTGTAAGTTGTAGTTCGGCCTCGATGTTGTTAATCGTAACAACTTCGAGTTAGTAGTACAACTTACAACTACATACATACGAGTGTCAAGAATTCTGCATCAACCTAATACTATCTTCTAAGTGCTGTCTGGAATGTTGGGAATCATCGCGAAATGTGCTTGAAAAGTGTAACTCATTCTGAATGAAATCAAAAACAGAAACGAGAACTGCTGAAACGAATGTTACTTAC